CCTTCCTGCTGGAGACCGCAGTTTATTTCAAGCCTAATGATTGCATTTTGGGCTCACATGCTAATTTCATAGCTGTTTCCTGGGGAGGAGGGAGAATCAGCTGGCCTTTCTGATGGTCCTATCTTTTGATGGTGGTGTTTTACTGCTTCCTGAGCTGGTTCTGCAGAACTTCGGCCCTCAAACAATACCCTGGCTTCTTAAAATGATGAAACGTGGTTAGATTAGGTCACTCCACGTACGGCAGCAAGACTTGATGGAGACAGCCCAATGCCTGAGCGGTTCCTAACAGCAGCATCCACGTTCCTTGGAGTATCACCTCTCACCCCACCTGTTGGGAAGAGACTGTTAAAATGCATGCTCTGAATGAAGAGACCCCCCCAAAACAGGCTTTGTGTGAGCAACATGGCTGTTTATTCACCTGGGTGCTGGCGAGCTGAGTCCATAAAGAGAGTCAGTGGAGGGCAGTGGGATAGGTTTGGGGTAGGCAGTGGAAAGTTACAGAAGTTACAGTTTAGGGCGGTTTTTGCAAGCTGGGAGGGGGTCCTAGGGTTTGGAGTCACGAGGTTGACCAAGGTTGGTTACAAAGTCCAATTGCCTTATCAACTGAGGCGGAAATAAGGAACAACAGAAGAATGTCTCAGGTTAATCAGGTGCTGCAGGGGTTGATCATTCTTGTCCTTTTCATGGTCTTCCAGTTACTACAGATTTTCTAATTCCAGGAGGCCATCCAGAGGTGTATGTGGGAGTCATGGGCGTCACCATGGCGTCCATGGCACCGTCAGTCAGCCTACAGGACCTTACAGGGACTGGCTGTGTTGCTTTCAGAGAATGTGGTAATTATTGTGAACCCAGAAAATCTGAGGCAGATCTCGGTTAACTTAGAAAGTTTGTTTAGCCAAGCTTGAAGATGTGCACCTGTGACACAGCCTCAGGAAGTCCTGACGACATGTGTCCAAGGCGGGTGGGGCACAGCTTGGCTTTATACATTTTAGGGAGACGTGAGACAGCAATCAATATAGGTAAGAAGTACATTGGTTCATCCAGAAAGGTTGTGACAATTCGAAGCAGAGCGGGGGGGCTTCCCGGCACACAGAGGTGGGAGACAAATGGTTGCATTCTTTTGAGTTTCTGATAAGCCTTTCCAAAGGAGGCAGTCAGAATAAGCATCTATCTCAGTGAGAAGAGGGATGACCTTGAATAGAATGGGAGGCAGGTTTGCCCTTTTCTTATTCTGAGTTTTTAAAACAATGGCAGGTTTGGTGTTAGGATGTGTGCATACTGATTCAGGGCTAGCCAGGAGATTTCGCAAATGTGCTTCTGCAGTCTAGGATGTAGGACTGATTACAGGGTGATGTTCTTAGAAATCTGGGAATTCTTTGTGGTGTTCTGTGTCTTAAGAGTTCAACTGAGGCCGGGCGCGGTGGCTCAAGCCTGTAATCCCAGCACTTTGGGAGGCCGAGGCGGGTGGATCACGAGGTCAAGAGATCGAGACCATCCTGGTCAACATGGTGAAACCC